GACATCATGACATCGAAACGCGACCAATGATAACAATCAGTGGCATAAATGAGCCAATTTCAGGCAAGACTAGGTTTCTGTGTCTCATCTGCGGCCACGACTCGTGCCTCCAAGTCGACCCCCCATCCCGGTCTCCGGGCCACTCTCGATTTTCTCGAACTTCCCCGGCACTTTCTCCGATTTTTGGGGAAAGGGTTGTACGCTGGTTCCTCCTGGAGAGCCAGCTAGTACTACCAGCCGTGTCATAAGTCATAAGTAAGGTGTCGGGGCCTTGTCTTTCCACAATCTCCGCTGTTTCCCAGCCCGGCCGGTTCTCACGCATTTGTCACGGGGCTGGCATCGCGTTTTTTTCTCATTTAGCGACTCTTTTTGGCCGTAAATTATACTAACCTGGCTCTTGCACAATTTTCACTAACCGGCCGCCCAACAGGATTTCGGTGGCAGAAGGATTTGTGAAACTAAATTCCATCCAAGCCTGGCCAGCAGACTTTCCCCCAAAAATTTCGCCACTTTTTGTGTATTTTTTTTTGTTCAAACAACGAGTGTTGCAGTTGATGTCATTGTTTACCTTTTCGGTTTTCCCTTTCCCAGACAGAGTTTTTATTTCATCTTGCCTGTTTTTTTTTTCGGCACAATTGACACATCTTTGGGCTGTCAGCGGGCTGACCTTGTGGCCGCTTTCTCGCTGCAGGTTGCAGGTTGCAGGCTGCTCTCTGCACGTTGCACGTTGCACGCTGCAGGTTGCTCGCGATGCGGAAATGCCAAATTCAAGCCCCGATTTTTGCCGCACTCACTGCACTTTCAGGCCAATCGTCACACGTCTCGATTCGCTGACAACTTGCAATCCTCCCAGCAGCAGCAGCAGCAACACCAGTCAGTGCAACATCTAATGCCACTCCAGAGGCAGCAACAACTAATCATAATTTCAGTCGATTTAGAAAAAAGCGACAAGTGTTTTTTTTTCTCTGTGATTCTCCGGTGTTCAGTGACTTTCTCCCGACCTCGTTTAGTTCACCGGCGATTCCGATTCCCATTCCGATTCCTAAAATAAGTTATTGACACAGAAATCCGGCTGATCGTGTGTGCCGTGGCCATGCCTTGTTTCTCCCAGTGCACACTGTTTTGGTATTTGGCTATTGACCCGCTGAATCACATACTTTATTTCGCTTTTAGAAACTTTTCGGCAAAGCCATAATCATAAGTAGTCCCCCCCCAGATCGGATTTGCATATACGGCTCCCTGTCTCCCCTCCGGCCAGTCAGACAGCCAACCAGCCAGGGCAGGGAGAACTCTTAACTTGGAATGCGTTAATTGGCCGGGCAGGCAGCCAACTGAGCAAACAGTTAGCCATGTTTTCGGGTTCTTAATGCCTCGGTCTTTGGACTTCTTCTGCCTGTGCTTCTGCCTCTACTTCTCGGTTTCATTTTTTATATTCAGGTGGCAGCCAATATTTCACCTGCCGCTGATGGGCAACGCTTAGCAGCCTAACGAGGCGTTACTGCACTTGGCCAACAACACCCAGGGTGGGGGCAACAAGACAAAGGCACTTGACACCGAAGGGGCACGAGACCCGAGGCCCTGTCATAGCCAGGGGGGGGTGGAGGGGCAGCTAGAGAAGGGGAGGCGATCGAAAGTGAAGCGCCATAAAACCATTGAAGAGAAGCTCAGCCCGGCCATAAAAGAATCTCGAGAATTTCCAAACGAAATTGATACGGACTGGCACTTCTACGAATTGGGAATCCGAAAGTTTCGCCATAAACTGCGGACCATTTAAGAACTATACCCGATATCTTGATGGTTTCACTGTACTTGGTTTCGCATTCGGCGGTCTCTTCATTAAATTATCATTATCAAAACGAAAGTTCGACGACTGGCGGAGGTTTCTTTTCGTCGGTAGTAGTACCGGCCGTGCGTGCGCCGGACAATGGGCACGTAACTGCCGGCCATCAATAAAATTGTCAAATTGGCAATTGGCAGGGCTCGGGGAAAAGCAGAAGCTAGCCGTGCTTAGAATCGACAATTCGGAGTTCGGAGTTGGCGTGGGTGTGAGAGCGAGTCCGGCAATTAAATGCAAATTTCTCCAAAACGAACTAACCAAACCAAACGAAAGACTGAGGCAACGAACTCGGAATGGAATGATTAGGGCCAGAGGCACAGGTCGTTGGGATCACTTAGCAGTGTATGCCTGTGTGTGTTTGTGTGTATTGGTGTGTGCTAATGCCACAAATTATTGTTTTCCGAGCAGATGAAACATGTCATCTCGGTGGCATTTTTTTTTTTTCGCTGCTCCAAATGAGCTGCGATTGCTCCACTAAAGTGACACAATCAACGACGCTCGCTCTGTCCAGAGCGACCTGATCTACTTGAGCTACTGTCAGTGCACAGAGAGAAATTTGTAATTTGGAGATAATAGAATACTTCTAACTATCTCTAATAGAGGTCTTTAAACTCTAGCTCAAGTTAAGAAATAAATTATTAATTGGAAGACTTTTTAAACCCGAATTTCTTTCAGTGCTGGGGCCTTCTGCTTCAACTGCTTTGTTTTTCATTGCCTGATTTTCTTTCAGTTTCTTCAGTTTTTAGCTCTTTTTGCAATGTTTATTGTTGCCACTGTCACACAGTCGCCGGTGGTTGGCGGCCTCTTGGTGGGTTACCCGCTTATGTAAGCCAGTGTCTAAATTCTCTCGACTCCGCTCTGGACATCCACTCGAGCCACTGGCGTCTGTTTCTGTTGCTGCTGCTGTTGCTGTTACTGTTGCATTCATCATCGTCATTAGTGTCCAAAAATGAAATGATTGCAAATATCAGAAACGCAACAAAGAGCACTTCACTTGTCAGAGAAGCGGGGGCTTGTGTGTGTCGGCGGTGGCTTTCAGGAGCCAGAGTTAAAAAACCTCGAGTTGCTCAAGAGTTTTACTTTCGTTTCCCCAACTAGTACACATTTCACTGAGATTTGCAACGGGTGTGGGGTATGGGGTTGGGGGTGGGCTAAGGGCGGAGAACCTCCACGTCGTACCGCCCCCAAAAAACAGAGCTCAAGTGCAGTCACTTTTCTGCAGACCACTCGCACTCGGTTGCGCAACCATAACTATGTGCACTTGCCTCACAGAGACCCCCCTCCTGTGCGCCCGCCCCTGGCCGTGGATGGGAAAGCATTTGGCAATCCAAAAACCACCAAGCCCAACCGAAAACCAGGAAAGTGCCAAGTCGGATATTATCCAACGCGTCGCTTTGCAAAACCCACGAAAATAATCAACAATTAGTGGTGAGTGATTAGTTGAGTAACCCCTGATTCTCGAGGGGATCTATCACAATCAAAAGTCCATTAGGGCTGCTTTCAATCGATTCTCCGACAGAAAGAAATCTGGAGCACAGAGACTCTCCTGGAGCCAAAGCTCGGGGCTCCAGAAGACCGAAGGCAGAAAGGTAGCGACTCAGAACATTAATCTTGCGAGTCTTTGGAAATTAAAAATAATAAAGCACTAAATGGAAAATGAAGCCGGGGATAGTTGGGCGAGCGAGTAGAGTGGAGCTGGAGCTGGAGCCCCTGTTGGGATGCAATTCTCTGCGCTTGGCTGCCTCTCTCCTCCCCCTGGAAGACTCCACCCCACAGGTTTCGTTGCGTGCGCCTGCTGCCTCTTGACTTCCTAGTTGTGGTCACTTCGCTCCGGACTCTGCTCCGGAGCAACTCTGATCACCCATCCACACTCGTGGGCGTCAGCAGCACGTGGCCAGTGGCAAGTACAAGCTGGCTGGACGGCCAAGCAAGCGGAACCGGCCATCGAGCATCCACCTCACATATCCCACATCCCAGCCTGCACCAGCGGTTTTCTAATTAAATGTTTCCACAAGCCGGCAGCTTTTGGGCGGGGTTCCAGGTGGAGATAATTGAATGCCAGAAAGAGGGATTAATTCAGGAAATGCTTCATCTATCTATCTATCTATCTATATGTGTATCTATCTATCTTTGTATCTCTGGGACTATCAATCCATCAATCAGTTCTTCTGCAGAAGCCTTTCCATCAATCGCCTTCTGCCCAGAGCAGTCACGCTGACAGTGTCTGTCCAGATAATTCTCTGTTTGTTCCGTTTTTCCCATTTTCCATTTTCCATTCTGCATTTTGCATTTTCCAGATCGTGTGGAATGCTCGACTGCACTTTGCTCGCAACCCAATTCAGAGTTGGGCCCTGACTGCGCTCTTCATTGGCTTCATTGGCTTCCGATGACCACTGGGCCGTGTGCTCTGGACCATTTTGCATTTGGCCCACATGTGTCAGAGCCATAAAGAGCTGGAACTGTGCGTTGGCAGCTCCATCCAGTTCCAGTTCTAACAAAAACAAAGTATGCCCACAACATCGGCCACAAAAAGCGGAGATGCTGCCTCCGAGAACCTCGATGCTGTCCGATGCTCTAATTTTGTGACCATTTGGCTTACTTTCCGCCCATTCGTGTGGCATGCAAATGCGGCGGCCATTGTGCAACGCTGGTGCCTGCCACGTCCAGTGGCACGACCACATCTCTCCAGAGCACCCGAGCAGGTCTGGCTTCGAGTAGGAATGCTTCTAAATTGGTCCACTTGAGCAGGTACACTGGGGGAAATGGACTTGAAGCTTCAATCGGAGGGTCAAGAGGAGCCACTGGGTATGACCTTCCTCCCCAGCTTATCCCTCCGGACCATAGGTCGTCCTGTGACCCATCCGGATCACCTGTCCACCTTTTGGGGACCGATTTCTGCGAGTGTTCCGTTACAGTTGCATAACCTGTATTAGTGGTTATTACCGTTTTAGAGATGATGGCCCGAGAACCGATTGATCAGCGCAGAGGGGCAAGAGCAGGGGGGCACTCACTTGCCACTTGCCAAAAGCGCAGCAGCCGTGGCAGCAAGCAGGGGCAGCAAGTGCGCATGCGTGCACCTCTGCCAGCGTCGACTGAGGCCGAGGCCGAGCCAGAGCCAGGTGGGCAACCAGCTTACAAGACGCACGATCCAAGTTGTTCGACTTTCAGTTGCTTTCGAGCTGCACAAGACGACGGTTTGAATCCGGCTCTTCACCGCGAAGAAAGAAAGAGAAAACGACGAGAGACTCCCAGAGCCCCCAGTGAGTGAGTGAGAGCTAGAGCTTGTGCGAGAACGAGACGGGGGAGCGCCAAGCGAAAGAGACCGATAGCACCGATAGGAAGACACCGACTTGGAGCGACTTGCGACTTCAGTTGCCCAGCGGACTTCCAAGCGAACGGTTCGACCACCGGATGCCGCGACTACTATTTTTTTTTTCGTTGATTCGTCAAGTTAACGGTGCTCGTGAAAAGTGACCAAAGCCCACCTCTATTATTTTTTTTTTTGAGTGCTCAAGTACACAATACTACGTCTGGATGTCGGCTCAAGACACACATCCACTCCAAACTCAATCCTAAAGTGTTACCAGATAGTAGAAGCCCACAGAGGAAGTTCACAGTGCGAAACCCGAATTGCAAATCCGGCGAAAGGCTGCAGAGAAACTACACTGAGAGAAAACCCCCATCATCACAGACACACGGCAGGTGTGAGCGAGAGAGCAACAATGCAACGCACGCAGCCCGAGTTGCTGCCGCTGGTGCTGCTGCTGCTGCTGCTGCCGCTGGCTCTGGCTTTGGCGCAGGCGCAGAATATAGGTGAGTGTGTCAAGCGAAAGACGAAAAAGTACGAAAAACAACAAGAAAGTCGGTTTGCGAAAGGGGCCAGACCGAATGGGGGATACCCTGCAAGGGGTGTTGGATCAGATCTTCTGGAAATTAGGGACGGGTCCCGTCTTAGGGACTATAGTAAATTATAAATATAACTATATAATACCTTATCGAGATCTCGCTATTCAAGCAATTAAAAATACTTCAAGATCACACTTTAGAATTCCCAAAAACACCCATCATACTTCATAATATTTATCTCCTACCATTTATCTCTTTAAACCCTAATTGAAACCTTGACATGTGAGAGATTTTCTTACCAATTCTATGGCTAGTTGGCCTTAACTCTTGGCCATTTGCATAAAGTATGAAGACTTCATTAGCTTGAGTTCAAGTCTTAAATCATATAGAAACAATGCACCTTGCGAATTTTTGTATGTTTTCAAGGAAATCCCCCAATCTTTGAAAGCCTAGCCATGGGAAGAATATCAACCAAATTAATCCTAAACTGCATATACTCCCGCGTACTTAGGGTATTTGAGGTAAAAAAAACCGCACCATCGCTGCCAAAGCAAACAAATTTTCTCTCGTTCTCGTTTGTTGTGGATCCCACTTGTTGCTGCCTCTGCTGCCTCTTTCTCTTTCCCCCCCTTTCTTCTGGTGCTCTCCCCCGTTTCGGGTAGTGTATGTGTGAGGCGCACCTTCCACCGAAATACTTCCCATTTTTTTTTAACTTTTAACTTTTTATTTGGTTTTTGCATACAATTTTTGTTATTCTTCGTTTTTTTGTTTGTTGATTTCCGGTTCTGGGTTCGAAACAAAAGCAGCACTTAACAAATTATATTCAACGACTTTTGCATTTTTCCCACGTTAATAAAATGCGTCCAGGCTGTCAGCAAACTGGCCCGAATGTGCCCAGTAACTGCCCAGTAACTTGGACTCCCAGTTCCACTCCCAGTTCCAAGTCCAGTTTCAGAGTCAGTTCCAGTTTGCAAGACAAGTGCTCCCTGGCTGGTGGGGGGGGCTAATTGTGTGGGGCCAGAACGGCCCCAAGAAGGGGGAGTGGCCAGGAAACGGATGTTTGCGTCGGCCGGCCAGCACTTGTCCGAAAAAAAAATGTGCCAACACGAAAGACTTAGGCAACGAACTTGCCCGCCTGCACGTGGCGCGCGGGAAAATCAATTTTTGGCTCAAAGCTCTCAGAAAAACTCTCAGTTGCTTCCTGTTTTGGCACACCGTTTTCACTGCTCCGGTGGAAAATCTTGTTAATTAATTTGAATTAATCACAAAGGCGAGACAAGTCGTTAAAAAAAAATATTTATAAGCCGCCGAGCCGCAGAACAAGCTGAAACTGAAATTAAAAGAAAATTTATGATCTGCGGGAGCCGAGTGGTAGCTAGCTCACTACTTACTGCTCGGATCTGTAATGTTGGGAAAGTTGGCTTCTGTGGCTTTCCTTCCAACAATCACAACAACAGTCAGTCGACAACCGACAACACTCGTTGACAATAAGAAAAGTAAAAGTGCCAGGGAAAGAGCCCCAACAAACAAACACAGTCGACAGTCGTCGGACAAAGGCTGTTGCTGCTTCTTGTCGGATGATCGGGCCCATGGCCAACCATCTAATGGCCAAAACGTAATGCTGCTCAGCATTCACCATATAATAGTATGGGATGGAAATCATGCATGATAGCCCGCTGCTCACGGCTCATCATAATCATCATCAGCTCAGCAGATGCGGAAACTCCTCGGCTAATTGCAATGCGAGACTACCTTTTGCAACCTGGAGCTACCTGGATACTGTATCCAATATCTGCACAATGAACCGCAGCCGGCGAAAGGGCGGTGATGCCAGCCATCAGCGGGGCGTGGCTATGTGCACGCATGCCTGCATTCGGCAATTGCAATTGCAGCCTCTCCTTGCGGCTTACCACTAAGCCAGCCAGCCAGCCAGCCAGCCAGCCAGCCTCTTTATATAAGTTTTCAAGGAAGTAGGAAGCTGTAACAAATATTCAAATACTTGTTATTTGTGGGCTGTGGCAACTGCAACTGCAACTGATTGCAATGCCCCGGCTGGGACCTTCAAAACTCCGGAGTGGTTTTCACTTTCACGACTCATTAATGATGATGTTCATGCGGGTGACACTGCCTTGCCAAAGTTTCCCCCAAAACCTGCCCACTGTTCGACATGTTTGTCTCAACAATTTTACGCAACATTTTGGTTTTTTGTTTTTGGCACGTAGGAGGTATTTTAATGTCGGGGCCTTTCAAGAGGGAGGCATTGCGCAAACGGCCTTGCCCAGGTACTTGTGCACTCGATATGTAAATCACTCGAATACCAAATATTTGGGTTACTCGAGAAATCAGAGTGTTTCTTCGGATTCTTTATAAGCCAAGGCCGCTAAGAGTTCCCACATTCTGCGGGGAACAGAGTCGAAAAGTCAAAGCTATACTTCGCAGAAACAGCAATTAACTGGCAAAGTGACACCTAGTCCCAGGTAACTTAATGGCTTATACAGAACCTGTGTGTGTGTGTGTGTCCCAGCCCCAGTGATGACTTCATGGGGCGCGGGAGTGTCATCCCATTCGATCAGAGATCTCCCGACTGTGTGGCATACATTTCAATCAATTTCGGGGCTGGGCCACCGCCACCTACCCGATTCTCAGCTATGAGCTTAGCTCGTTGTCTTGAATATATATTTTTTAATTGCCATAAACATAAATGGCGGACTGACTAAATATGTTCCATAGACAAGATACTTTATCTTGATCTCCCCGCTGCTTGGCCGCCGCACAACTTTCGCGTTTTGTTTGCCGTCGTTTGTTTGGAGTCGTGTGTGAAATTTTAATGTCGCAGAGAAATGCTCGAAAAGTGAAACTAACGTCTAATAAATAAATGAAATTGTTTGCCATTAGCAGCGCATTTAAATGCCACCACCGGGCCACCAAGAAAGTCTGCGAGCACATGCGTTTCATTTCTTTCCAAGTCTCAAGTTTCTTGTAATAATTTTTTTTTTTTTTTGTAATTTAATTAATTGTAATATATGTACGGCTGATTCACGACAGCAACTTGTTTGCCAGCCATCAATGCCATCAAGCAGCAGGTCTTGAGGCAAACAATTGAAACTGTTATTGGTAATTGCTTCGCTAATAACTTTAAACGGTGCTCGGTGCTCTTGGAGTTTCGTCACTAACCCACAAAAACCCACAATACACAGCGATTGCCAATTGCCCTCAAACGATATGAAATATGAAAACCCACCACGAGTGATTGATAATTTGGCGCAGCTGTCGTTAATTGCTGATCGATCGATCGATCGATCGATAGATCGATGGAGTGTGAAAATGCAGGTCTCCCATTAGTGAATCTTTCCCAACGACTTAATTCATGGAAACTCTGGAATCCCTAGCTGCAGTCCATACTCCTGTGTTGGCCACAACCATAACGATAACACTTGCCATAACAATGGCCATAACAATAACCGTAGATTATGATGGAGGGGCTGGCTACCTAATTGCGGACAGCGGACGGCGGACAACGGACAGCGGACAGTGGGCATCTTTGGATTGATGGAAATTGCAATTTGCTTAGCTGGCTTTTGCTTTTGCTTTTTCTTGTGCTTTTGTTCCGCTTGCTCGCTGAATGAAGAGGCGATGGCGCCATATCTCCATCAGGGGTTCGTTGACTCCTGCTCGGCGATCGGAAGTGCACCAGGATGAGTTGGCATTTTCCGAACAAGCCAACTAATTTGTTCAAGAGCAGTGCATTGCAGTGCACTGATGCTTTTCTCTCAGTGCACACACAAGCCTGTATGGCCCGCAGCATGTGGCAAGTGGCAGGTTGCTGTCGTCTTCTTCTACTCCACAGATTCCGATCTCGATCTTTTGATGTTGTAATGCCCCGCAACTAGCGGTAAAAATATTCAAATGGAATTCCAAGCCGAATATCGATTTTATAATCGAGACCAGCCAACCAGCCGACCACAAAAAATTCCCAAAGTGAAAATATTCATAACAATGACCCCCCTCCCCACCATCTCTGTCTAGCTGCCGACTAGTCTAGGGCCTGGCCGTCTCTCTCTCTAGCGACCCGGCTTTAATTTCCTTTCGAATCGGGGCCAAGCTTTGATTTGTGGCCAGCCATTTGCATAGAAAATAGTTGACAAAAGTCCAAGAGTCGCAGAGAAAGGCCCCCAAAGCGACGAGTTCGAGGAGGAAAGACCAACAAATTCTCGGCTTTATTTAATGCGTTACGTTCTTTGTCTTCCCCCGTGGCTTTCTTATGCAAATTGCCCGGCAAACTGTTTTTATTCCACTTCCATTCACTCCCCGTCCCGTCCCAGAACTTTGGCTCTCTGAATCACTGATCTTGCATCGGGGAGCCGGGGCCGCAGTCCCCAATCGGGCTGTAAGTGGTCTGCCCAAAAGATGAGGCCCATAAAAGCCGAAAAACCCACAATCTCGGCTTAGCCTCGCAGCCCCGGGCCAGAATCTGAAAATCTAGAATCTAAAAACTGAAAACTAAAAATCCAAAAGCAAATTAGGCACAGAGCCAAAAGCCAGTGCAAAAAAGCCACAGAAATTAGCAACTGCAATGAGAACGCATCCGAGAACAGTGGCCACTCGCTGGGGTGCCCATTTTGTGTGTTCTGGACGGAGGCAGTTGCCCAGAACGAGGCCTCACTGTGGCACGAGCTGCGGAAAGCGGTGTTGCAGGTGTCTCGCAGCTGCCACACAAACAACATACAGCCACACACACACACACACAGCAAGGCACTCGCATTCTATCTTAAACTGCATTTGGGCCGAAGTGACCCAGTTTCTCGGCAGACACTGAGAAAAACCATCGGAAATGGTATAACTTTGGTGTTTTTAAAGTTAGAAAGTTCTAATTTAACATGAGAGCTATTTTTGGCAAAACAATACGACGTGCCAAATTTCATAAGGATCGGCCGACTATATCCTATAGCTGTCATATAACTGAACGA